AAAGAAAGTGAAAACTGAAGGCACTCAGTGAAGGGAGCACCAGGGGCTAAGGCAGGTGAAGAAGGTGGCCCCAAGGAGTCACATTCAATTGGCCCTTGAAGAAGGTATGCTACACAGATCAGATGCAAGACAAAAAAAAAAAAAATGAGCAATGAGCAAGCACATGAAGTCTGACTCAGAAGCATAATTAGCCTAAGGTTTTAGCTTGTGTTTTTGAATACACACACCTGCAAACACATGAGGGGATTCTCCAAAAGATCAAATTAAATGTACACTGTGAGAAAACTATGCGTGAATTTCAAAAAATTTTAGCACCAAAGTAAACATTCTGTAGGGACATTTTGAAGCACCCTCATGTATACACACATGTACAAATACATACATATATATATATATACATATATATATACAGACACATATATATATGTAATACACACACACCAGTATTTCCATAAGCTCTTTGAAGTACCCTTGAATATACATGCACATGGGATGTGGGGAGGAAGTCATCATTGAACCAAATCTTATTTGGTGCAAGAGTTTTTCCATATAAGTGAGATATTCTCAGCCAACTTCAGCTTAGGTTCCAAAACATTTTCAGTTAAAATCATTTTAGATTGAAATATTTTGAAAATGAGATAATCCCTATAAAGCATGTAGCACTCAATAAATGTTAGTTATTTTGTATTTTTCCATAAAGTGTATTAGTAAGGCTCTGCCTTAGAAATCAGAGTAAATGGAGTATAATTTTATTACTCTCAAAGGCCAATGTTCATCATAAATATCAATTATTTAATGGAGCTATGAGCCTAGGGATATTTTGAAAGTGGCAATGACTAGAAACATTGGGTTGTTTGTTCCTGCATTAAAAAGCCCCCAAATGCAAGGCATGGTTAATGCTGAGGCTGCTAGTCAACCTGGCTGTTCCCCATGCCCTTCCCCATGCTGTCAAACTGTCATTTCGCAAAGTTGTCACTATGCTTGCATAACAAGCAGCAGAGGTGAGGGAGAGGAATATCTTCCATCTACTGCTTCACTCCTCAAACACTCACAACAGCCAGGGCTGTTGCAGGCTGAAGCCAGCATCTGAGAATTCCATCTAGGTCTCACATTTTTCAGGCAGACTCAAGTACTTGGGCCTTACCAGATGCATTAGCAGGAAAGTGGATTGGAAACAGAACAACAGGGACTTGAACCAGTACCCTGATATGGGATACAGGCACTGAAAGTGGGATACAGGCACTGAAAGTAGTAACATACTATGTCACTATACCAGCCCCATTTCTATCTCTCTATAATTTTTTATTTCCAGTTGTCTATTAGCTGAGATATAGGGCTCTTTAAATCTTACAACTATGTTCTGACATTGAGCAATGTATTTGCCCTACCTTAGCTTCATAGGTTTCCTATTTGTCTGTAAAACTTTAAGTCTCCAGCTCTAAAACCTTTGAGTCTATTAGACACTTGAATAACACTCGAAGTGAGAGGGGCTTTGGGTTTCATTTTTTGTATTTTTGTTAGTATTGTAGAAAAATTATCATTGACCAACTTCTTGAAGATAAAAAAGTTAAACTATTTATTTATTAGCTATTCAAAGCAAAGAAAAATGGCAGCAAAAATTACTGATCTATAGAGACATGTTCTAATGAAGGCAGTGCCTTAGAATAGACCCAGAACTGTTTAGAATCAAATATGAATTAGATAGATTCTTTCTCTACTAATGGGCATAGAACCTGCCTGTGAGAAAGCCAACTGGGACAGTAATGGAAGTTAAGCATTGGATAGAAGGGAGAACTCAGATGCAGAAGGAAGAGCAGCAGATTTGGGGCCAGAGCTCTGAGCAAATGTGAGGTCTTAAGCTGGTCATATAACATGCCTACATCCCAATTTCTCTCTATGTACATCTGGAACACCATACTGGCTTCATTGGATGGTTGTAGGGATTAAATTAAAGAATATCTGTATTAGTTTTCTAGGGCTACCACAATAAGTAGCACAGGCTAGGTGCGGTTGTGGGAGACTTAAACAACACTCCTAGAGGCTAGAGGTCTGAGGGCTCTGCTTGGTGTGCACACAACCATCTTCTTCTTACTATGATCTCCCATGGTCTTTTCTTTCTGTAAGTGGGTATCTTCTTAGGTGTTCAGATTTCCTTTCTATAAGATCACCAGTCATATTGAATTGGGTTCCTACCATAATGGTTTCATTTCACAATAGCTACCTCTTTATGTCCTATCTCCAAATACAGTCACATTCTAAGGAGTTGGAGATTAGGTCTTTGGTATGTGAATTTGGGGGAATATGATTCATCCCATAATATGATCCATGAAAATGCTTTGCAAATTTCCTACATATGGAAGGCATGGCTGCTACATCCCTGGGGGTGTACTATGACAGCTGTGCCATAGTGGGCAGAAAACAAATCAGGGCCAAAAACAAATTGCTCTCAAATTGCTCTTCACAAATAGTAACACTGCCAGGTGGACATTTGCATCCAACACCTGGATTTATGGCTGTGTCGTTTCAATGACTGTTCATGAGTATCTGCTCTGCATGTCAGGCACCAAGCTAGGGATGTTATCTGGTGTGTCTACTCCACAGGGAATGAGTCAGGACATAGAACAAAGCACTTTTGCTGCTTGTCCTTGTCCTGAGCACTTCCTGTGCAGAGGGCTCTGGGCACCCTCACATACATTTGCTCCTTAATATTCTCAACAGGTCTTTGAAGGCTCAGAAACATACAATAAACTTGCCAAAGCCATAGCACTGACAGGGTTTGAATTCAGGCTTTCTATGCTGAAGTCAACATTTTTCTCCTTAAAGCCATGGAAGCTACACTGAGGGGATAAAAAGAACCAGTTACAGAACTAAGGACCATTGTGCACACATGTCAGCTGGTTATTTTCTCTTTTTTTTTTTAAAGGTTTATTTGTTTATTTGAAAGTAGAGTTACACAGAGAGAGGAGAGGCAGAGAGAGAGAGAGAGAAAGAGAGAGAGAGAGAGAGAAGAGAGGTCTTTCATCCGATGGTTCACTCCCCAACTGGCCGCAATGGCACTGATCTGAAGCAAGGAACCAGGAGCTTCTTCTGGGTCTCCCACATGGGTGCAGGGGCCCAAGGACTTGGGCCCATCTTCTACTGCTTTCCCAGGCCATAGCAGAGAACTGGATCGGAAGTGGAGCAGCTGGGTCTTGAACCGGCACCCATATGGGATGCTGGCGCTTCAGGCAAGGGCGTTAACCTGCTGCACCACAGCGCCAGGCCCAGCAGCTGGTTATTTTCTCATGCAAGCCCTGTTCGGGTTTTAGGAGTAACTAGGGGTTTTGCTCCATAGATTGTCACAGTTAACACAATACATAGCGAACATAAGCTACAGCAAAACCAAGCCTTTGGGTAGAATCACTGCACTACTGAACAAACAAGTAAAAGTAATTTGACACTAGAAGGAGGCACAGAATTGCTAAATTTTGAACTATTCTAGGGAACTGGAACAGAAGATTCACAAAGAACACTACAGATCTATCCCTAATGAAGATACACAAGTAGCATCACTCTTTCTCACTCTGAACTGTAACCCCCTCATGTCAGGCTGAAATTGCCTTTTTGACTTTTCTATACAAGGGAAGGATAAGATCGCTCCAAATTTCAGCTCCCAACTGGAATGTCAAACCCAATTTATTTTCTCCTACCTCCAAAAGATAGCTTTGGTTGCAAGAAGTACTGAAAGCATTAGGTAAAATCAGGGCTTCCTCAGCATCTACCAGCAGCTTCCCCGTGCAGTGGAGCACGAGCAACAGTTTCTACACCCTCAGGGAAATGTTTAGCAGAGAGCTGGATCAGAAGTGGAGCAGCAGCCTGATACAGGAACCAGGCAAAGTATAAGACATGGAAATTCTTAAGCCTGCTTTGAACAACCAGATTCTGATGAATTGCCAAAATAAACAAAGACAGGTCCACTAGTTAAAGTCCTGGAATCAAGAAGATCTTAGCAAGCAAGATCATCTGATCTATGGAGACCACACCAAGAGATAACTATGTCTTCACCTGGGCTAAATCACTTTATTGGACAAGTGGGGGGAAAAAAACTCTCTCCTTAATTCAAAGCCATGTTGGTCAATGGGCAAATTTTATGGCATATGAACTATATCTCAATAAAGTTATTTTTAAAAAGTCATTGGCGCACACACACACATGTGCAGGCACACTTATGATAAACCTGGGAAGACTGTAGTGGCAATAACAGTATAATTCAGGGATCTTCCCAAATCTGCTTATAAAACATAGCAACTAACCGTAAAACAAACAAAACCCTACAGAAAGCATTTACAACAAAACGAGAGGCAAGGCGGCCAAATACAGAGGAGGAGGAGACCCTCAAACAGCCCCAGCACCTGCAAGTGACCAGGAGCCTCTGTGTAAAAGGAAACAGTGGGGAGTTAGATGCAGTTACTGCTGCTTTTAGAAACATATTCCAGGGGGAAAAAGCTACCTGTGCTTTAGTGTGCACGCCTTGTGTCACACTGCTACAGCCCCCTGCCTTCATCCCCTTATTTTAGCCAGATCATGTCCTTTAATTAAAAAAACAAATTTAAAAACTCTAAACTCATCTTCTGAGAAAGTCTTTTCCCATGAATCCTTCCAAATTCATGCCCTCCGTGGGAAGGCTTGGGACAGCCACATCCAGTTCTCAAACACCTCGTGTTCCCTGACCTGATCTCTTGAGATTCTGTTTCTCTGGTTGCACCTGTCCAACAAGGTGAGTCGTTCCTCCCTAGGATTTTCTCCTTGGGATCACCCCACAGTGACCATGACACATGACCTAGGGCGCCACAGGAGGACAGTGCCGAAACCAGCTCAGCAAAGTGCCAGATGGAGGCCAGCGGTGGTCCACAGTGAGGGCCAAGGCCGGCCGCGGCCAGGGCAGGGGCTGCAGGGCCTCGAGATGTCCCCGGGACCGCGGTGGGAACCGAGCCGCGAGCCCCCCAGGGTTCGCGCCTCGCAACCTCGCTCGTTGGGAACGTGCGCTTTAACGAACATTGCTCGCTTCGCCTCTGGCCAAGTTGACAGTGAATCGAAAGCTCCTAGAGCCTCGGACCTTACCACGCTCAGCTGCGCCTCATGGGCAGTTACCTGAGCAAGCCTGGCCCGCCGCAGCCGGCCCGCACCCAGGAGAGCCGGGACCTGCGGGAGAAGCCCAGCCGCCGCCCAGCTGCCCGCTCCCCGCCGCCTACCGCCCCTGCCCATCGCGTGCAACACGTTCACCCTGCTCTCCCCGCTCCTCCTCTTCGCCGGCGCCCCAGGAGGCCTTCCTCCCGGGACCGTGGGGCTCTGCCAGACTGCTTCGTAATAACACCTCGAAGGCGCTATCCGACCCAGCAGGCCCAGTACTCGCTCGTGGGCGTGCTTCCCACCGTGTGCTGGGATGGTTGTCCCAAGAAGGCTGTGCTCTCTGCTCGAAATTCCAAGATGGTGTGCGGCGGTCCAGGCACCGTGAGAATCGCGCCTCCTGACAGCAAGCTGATGGGTTCCCCGGTGCCAGCGCAGGCCACCCACTCGGTGCTGCCCTTGCCGTCCGCTAAGGCTGCAGTCCCGAAGGCCAGTGGACTGAATGCCCTCCAAGAGAGGAAGAAAAGAGTCAAGGGCAAGGAAGACCCGGTATTCCTGGATGGCCTGCAGAGTAAGAGAAGGTGCCATGACAGCAATGGCAGTGGACACCCCACAGCGGCGCCCCAGGTGGCCAATGGAGCCCTTGCTGCTGGGGTGCCTAAGCCTGGGTCTCTGAAGAGAGGTCTCAGTTCCCAAAACTCGCATGACCCCTCGATAAAAAGACCTTGCCCCTCTGCCTTGGCAGCCACGTACACGGGAGGCATCCCCAGCTCCCGCCGCAACGCCATCACCAGCTCCTACAGTTCCACCCAAGGCCTCTCGCAGCCGCACAAGAGGAGTGGGCCCTCTTCATCCTCCTCCTCCAGCTCCGCCTCCTCCCACCCGCAGATGCCAAAGAGGCCCGAGAAGAAAACAAGGCAACAGCAGCTGCGCGCTCCTTGCGGTTTGGTGCCTCCCAAGGCTTCTCAGGGGGGAAGGGTTGCAGAGCCACCCAAGAGTAAGACAGAAAAGGGATGGAAGTCCCCATCTCCCCCTGACGTCTCCAGTAGGCGCAAACGCAAGATTCAGCTGCTGCCCTGCAGGCGAGGGGAGCCGCTGGCCTTGCCTCCTGCGCCGCAGCTCGGCTACCCCATCAGTGCGGAAGAATACGAGAAGGAAAAGAGAGCGGCGTTCCAACGGCTCAACAGGCTCTTGGAAGACAAGACTGATGCTGCCCTGAGCTCCGTCGCCAAGAAGCTGCCTGCAGCCCAGCCGCGGGTTAAGTCAACCCTGTCTGCTGCTGGGAGTGCTTTCCCAACCGCCACTCTGTCGGCTTCCAGCACCAAGAAGACACAGAAGTCTTCGGGCCCCCCAGCCTTCCCGGAATCCGCAGGAGTGGCGAGGGCAGTGGCCCCTTTGCCTGCAAAGACACTGGCCCCTTTGCCTGCAAAGACACCTGACCTTCTAGCTCCTGTCGGCGCATCTCAGCCAGCGATCTTTCCAGGTACATTTTCAGACTCCAAAGCCCCAGCCCCTTTCCCGGGGCTGATCCCCATTTCTGCCATGACACTAGTCCCTGATACCAGGAAGTCCCCTCCAGCTCCTCAGGCGGAGACATCTGCCAAAAGCCCCACCTCCACCTCCCAGCCCCGGCCACCCTGCCAAGCAACCTGGGGGGCCTACTGAGCTCGCTCTCTCTCTCTCTCTCTCTCTCTCTCTCTCTCCTCTCCCCTGCAGCTCCAGCTGGGACCTCAGCATCCTCCAAGTTCAAGTCCAAGGTGGTAGCCTCCGCTGAAAGTGGGAGTGAAGGCCCCTTGCTGTCTGGCCGTGCAACCACAGTGTCTTCCAGGACCACTGGCACTTCCTCAACTGTCACGCCCAACTGTGGCATCCCAGGGCCACCTGCACCTGTCATGCCCTTGGCCATTCCCCACTCCTTCAAGCACAACATGGCTGCAGCCCCAACCCGCCCTGTCTTTGCTGGGCAAGCTTCTGCCACCTCCTCTGTGGCTTGTGTCACCACAGCCAGTACCACCACAGACTCGGCTTTGAAGCCTGCTTTTGGCTTTGGTGGCAGGGGTGTGCCCAGCACCCAGAGCAATGCGACTGGCACCACTGCCTCCACTACAGCAGAGGCTTTCCTCTTCGGGGCTCCCCCTGCCTCAGGAGCCAGCTTTGCCCCAACTGAGGGCTCCACAGTCCAGTTTGGCAAGCCTCCTGCCATGCCAGCCTCAGCCACAGTCACCACCTTTGGCCAGTCCTCCTCCAGAGCTGCCCAGTTGGCCACTAGCAGCACTGTCCGCTTTGGTGGTTTGGGCAGCACCCTCACAACCTCAGCTCCGGTCACCCCCAGCCAGCCTACACTGATGTTCCCTAAAACAGCCCCTGCAGCATTCAACATGCCCTTTGGCTCAAGCACCAAGCCCCCTCTCCCATCGTACCCAGGGGCCAACCCCCAGGCCACGTGTGGGGCCGTGGATAGGCAGCAGAAGGCTGGCAAGCTAGCCCTTGCCCTAAGCTTTGGCAGCTCTCTCACTTTGGGGAACATTGCAGCCCCGGCTCCGACAGCAACACAGGCGCTGGCTCCCACTCAGCCAGCTTTGGGTAGCGCCCCCCAGTTGTCTTTGGGTGGTTTGAAATCCACAACTGCTGCCTTTAGTACCCCTGGAAACACCAAGCCAGCCTTTAGAAGTGCCACAGCGGGCTCCTCCTTGGGTGCAGTCACCCAAAGCACCAGCAGTGGGACCAGTAGCACCCCCTTCACGTTTGGGGGACCAGCGGCCCGGGTTGGCAGTGCAGGCCCCAATCCCCGGGGGGCCACCCAAGTCACCACCTCCACTGCTGAAGTGCTTAGCTTCAGGTCTAGACAGAGTGGGACCATAGTCAATGCCGCCTCCTCTGGGGGGACCTTGAGTCAGAAGAGCCTGGCTGCACCCAGCCAGGACCCAGGGGTCCTCAACGTGGCCAGCACCCACAGCAGCAAGCCTGTAGCTGGAGGCACTTCTGCACGCACCTTTGCTCAGAACGCCCCTGCTCCAGCACTGGGCACGGCGGGTGGCAGCCTTTCCTTTGGGGTGTCCTCCACGTCTACCCACGGTCTTGCTAGAATTGGATCTTTCAGGTCAGAGGCCCCTTCCTTCTCCATTGGTGCAGCACCCAAGACCCCAGGGCCTCGGCAGCGACTGCAGGCTCGACGGCAGCAGCCTCGCAAGAAATAGTCTTTGTCCCTTGCCTCTGCCCCTGACCCTGCACCCCCACCCCTTGCCCAAAACTAGACTTGTCCCCAACTAGGAAGGCCCTTTGACCCTTGGAGTTCCATAAACTAAACCTATCCCAGATCTCTGCTGTTGACCACCAAGGGAGTAGTGGCAGCCCTGGGGTCCCCTCCCCTCCTGCTGGAGGCAGATACCTCGGGGAGAGGGGCAGGCAGGAAGTAGCAGGGCAGAAGCGTGGTGCTTTTATTTGAATAGTTGCACTGGTGAGCTGGGGAGCCAAAAGAAATCCATATTTATTTTTTATTTATCCCTCACTCTTGTTTGGTGTGTAACCAACTACCTTTCTCCCTGATGGTCATCTTCATGGGAGGGCATGAGACACAGCCCACTGGGATCTCCATGAGCTTTGGATGGGACTGGGGGAACAGATTATTCCAGAAGCTTGACTTTGCATGGCTTGGCTACAAGAACTGGTTCTCTTCCCCCCTAGTCCCTTTAGGGGACTGTGTCTCCCCATTCCTGGTTGCTTTGTCCCTCGCCTGTTCCTTGCTGGATTTATTCCTTTAAAGATGACCCTGAGTCCAGCTTTGCCTTGGAGACCTCAGAGGGTGCTGCTCCTGCTGACCTATTTCCTCCTGCCAGGTCACAGCCAGTGTGTCAGCTCCCTCCTTCTCTGTCAGTCTGGCCCCCTATAAAGCATGGTGGCTCCAGACTGTCAGCCTGACACATCCAGGGATGAGACACCTCACTCTGGGAGAGAGAAACTACCAGAGAAGGCAGGCCACCCTCTGCAGCTGTCCACTGCCTCCTCACCCACCTACCCAGTGGCCTCGGCAGAGTGTCTCCCTCTTAGGCATGCTGCAGGCCTTCTGCTGTGTTACTTGGTGCTCCTGTTACTGCCCTTGGGAGTGTGGAGGAGGGATTGTGTAAGTGGTGGCATGCTGGTAGTGCCTGACTTAACTGCTGCGGCTTTCCCAGAGCCACGCTGGTTGAATGTGGAAGCAGTACCACTTTCCAGCTACTGGTGTTGACTCCTGAGTCTTCCCAGGAGGAAGGGACCAGGGGAAACAAAGACTTCGTCCCTCTGCTGTTTTCTCCTTGTAGGCCCTGCTTTAGGTGACAATACCCCTTCCCTTGTCCACATTAGAAAGCCCAAATTCATGGGCCATACTTTAAAATAGTGTCTTAGTTCTTTTTCTCAAACATCCCTTTCTCGCTTTCTTCCTTTGTTCCAAAACCACATAGCCCAGGCCCTAGAACCTTGCTGACACACCCAACCTCTTGGGGAGAAATATGAATGTATGTGTTTGAAAAGATAAATAAACTTTTTAAAAACAAAAATGTTTTTGTATTTAATTTTTTTTTTTGACAGGCAGAGTTAGACAGTGAGAGAGAGAGAGACAGAGAGAAAGGTCTTCCTTTTTCCGTTGGTTCACCACCCCAAATGGCCGCTACGGCCAGTGTGTTGCGGCCAGCGCACTGCGCCAATCCAAAGCCAGGAGCCAGGTGCTTCTCCTGGTCTCCCATGCGGGTGCAGGGCCCAAGCACTTGGGCCATCCTCCACTGCACTCCCGGGCCACAGCAGAGAGCTGGCCTGGAAGAGGAGCAACCGGGACAGAATTCGGCGCCCCCACCAAGACTAGGACCCTGGGTGCCTGCGCCGCAGGCGGAGGATTAGCCTAGTGAGCCGAGACACCAACTGTATTTAAGTTTTTTAAAAAATAACATGTTAGTGTCGCTTACAAAGAGCAAAATTCTGGGGCCAGCACTGTGGTGCAGTGTGTTAAAGCCCTGGTCTGAAGCGCTGGCATCCCATATGGGCACCAATTCTAGTCCTGGCTGCTTCTCTTCCAATCCAGCTCTCTGCTATGGCCTGGGAAAGCAGTAGAAGGTGGCCCAAGTGCTTGGGTCCCTGCACCCATATGGGAGACCCAGAAGAAGCTCCTGGCTCCTGGCTTCCGATCAGTGCAGCTCCGGCCATTGCAATTATCTGGGGAGTTAACCAGTGGATGGAAGACTTCTCTCTCTGTCTCTACCTCTCTCTGTAATTCTGTCTTCCAAATAAATAAGTATTTACAAAAAAAAGAAATATGGAGTAATGAATTGGATGTATTTGGGTACTTCAAAAGGGTTGTGGAGAGATGGAATTAAAAGATAAGCTTGGGGCTGGCGCTGTGGCGCAGCAGGTTAACTCCCTGGCCTGAAGTGCCGGCATCCCATATGGGCACCGGTTCGAGACCCGGCTGCTCCACTTCTGATCCGGCTTTCTGCTATGGCCTGGAAAAGCAGTAGAAGATGCCCCAAGTCATTGAGACCCTGTACCTGTGTGGGAGATCCAGAAGAAGCTCCTAGCTCTTGGCTTTGGAATATCGCAGCTCCGGCCATTGCAGCCATCTGGGGAGTGAACCAATGGATGGAAGACCTCTCTCTGTGTCTCTACCTCTCTCTGTAACTCTTTCAAATAAATAAATCTTAAAAAAAAAAAAGAGCAAAATTCTCACTGAAGAAAACCAAGATGTTCTTTCTAGCTAATCCCGAGAAGAGTATTGCACAATGCACAGTAGACTGCCACCAGGTTTCCTTTATCTAAATAGAGATTTGCCATTTTTAATTGAATAATTTTTTCCAGGTGTGTGAAAGCTAGGTTCAGAAGCACATTTTCAGTAGCCTATTTTGAACATCATGGATACTTGGGCTAAAGGAAAGAGCAGAGCAGGATGTTACGCCAACCTGCATAACCAAACTCATTGTATGAGGCTGTCCTCCCAAGTAAAGGGAAGTAGATAACAGTGAGTAACGACTGAAGCACCAATAACAGTGGCTAGGAAACAAAGCATCCTTTCCAAAGAGACTACCAAAGATTGGTTATCAACACTGTTTTTGCAAGCCTTTAGAGTTTTCACTCTTAAAATTGGTATCACCAGGCAACCATGTAATTATAGGGCTTAAATAAATCAGGCTTCTGAGGCTGGCATTGTGGCACGGCGGGTAAAGGCGTTGCCTGCAAAGCTGGCATCCCATATGGGTGCCAGTTCGTGTCCTGGCTGCTCCACTTCTGATCCAGCTCCCTGCTAATGGCCTGAGAAAGCAACAGAAGATGGCCCAAGTACTTAGGGCTCTGCACCCATGTGAGAATCCCAGAAGAAGCTCCTGGCTCCTGTCTTCAACCCTGGCTGTTGCAACCATTTGGAAAGTGAACTAGCAGATGGAAGATCTTGTGCGTGTGTGTATGTGTGTGTGTGTCTCCCCCTCCCCCCATAACTCTGCCTCTCAAATAGACAAAACTTTAAAAAAATTAATAGAACTTCTAATAACAGATTTTTAGCAGATGATGATGATTCAAAGCAAAGAATCTTCCTCTAAACTTATTAATCACCATTTCAAAAGCAGACTTTGTAAATCACACTGTTGGATGTGTGATGTTGCTTTTTCCTTCACTGAAACAAACTGAACTACTCAACACACCCTAGAGAAATCACACTGCTTAATGAAAATTTCACAGACTAACAAATTGAAAAAGTGATTTGCCTGTGCAATGCACTTTTCTGGTGTCAGATGGCCAGTAAGTATTCATTGAGCATGCACAGCTGCAGTTGGCATGTACACTAAAGACCAGAATTGATTGTCTGCTCACTGGGAACCTTGCCCCAACAGAGAATGTACCCCCAGCATATTGATGCTGCCTCTGCTCTGCTCCTCACTAACAAACATGTAGTTTGGCACAGAGGTCTTTGTATGATCCTCTTGTAAATATTCCAAGTTCTATAGAGCTTGGAACTAAACATTTCAAAAATCAGTAGTCATGCAGGAGTGATACCCTCCAGTGGTTTTCATCCACTGCCAGCAAAATCCTTGTTTGATGCTCTGGGTTTTGCCAGCAAGATAGGCAGGAAGGTTTGGTTTAGGAAAGCTGCTGTGAGGTCAGCAATGGCCTTGAAAGGCCTCAAATCCATACCACCTGGTTGATGAGGTTTGCTGATAAAAAACTAACTCAGGAAGCCGGCATTTAGCCTAAAGGTTAGGATCTTGTGCCCCACAATGGAGTACCTGTCCCGGCTCCAGCTCCCAATCCTAATTTCCTAAGGCAGACCCTGGTAGGCAGCAAGGATGGCTCAAGTAATTGAATTCCTGCCACCCACCTAGGAGGCCTGGATTGCGTTTCAAGTTCCTGGCTCCTGGTTTCCAACCACTTAGGGAAAAAAACCCAAACCCTAGTAGGAAATAGAGGGCAACAGCAAAAACTCTCTCACACATCCCACAACACCATCATGGGATTGGTTGTCTCTGGCCCAGCACTCCTGGGCTATGTCACCAATTTTCTCGCTTAGTCCCTTTCACTCCTAGGATCATCCCTTGGAGTTCCAGCTGGCCTGTGGGGGTCCCACATACGCTGTAGGCTTTCAGCTCCCTCAGTCCATCAATTATTTGATGTGTCCCTATTGTGCTGAGTGAAACACTGCCTCACAATCAACACTAGCACTACGGATGCTCACCCCCAGTCACGTGTGGGCATCTGTGGGGAGGAAAGGTATTCTTTCATTCCTTGATGTCATCTCTTTGGTTGTCCAAAGATAATACAGTCAGCCCTCCCTATCCATGGGTTCCATATCCAGGAATTCAAACAACTGTGGATTAAAAACATTTGAAAAAACTGCATCTGAACTGAATATGTACAGATTTGTTTCCTTATCATTATACCTTGAAGAATACAGTGCAACAAGTATTTACACAGCACATAACTTGTGTTAGGTATTAAGGGTCAACTAGGGAGGGATGTGCCTGGATTCTATGCATTTTACACAAGGGCCTAGAGCATCTGTGGATTTTGGTATTTCTGGGGTCCCTGGAACTACCCTCTTCAGGAACAAATGTATACCCGCAACACTCTGAATACAATGTATGACATACCCCTCCCCATACCTGTCAGACCCATCCCGTCCTCCGGCAGAGAGGAGCACAGAGAGCCCAACAATGTTACTGGATTCTCCTGCTGCCTCCTGCCCACCCGCGCCCTCCATCACAGTCCCCTGACCTAAGGCTCTGGCTGGGTCTCTGCTTAGAGGGAAGTTGCCTTGGGGGAAAAGAAGACAGAAGTGAAGAGGTGAGAAAATCCCCTGCATTCTGTGTTTTCACCAGGTTCCTCCTGCAGACAGACATTCCGGAGGAGGCTCCCTGGGGAAGGGACATCACATGGGGATCTAACTGGCAGGTCTGTTTCACAGCCCCGAGCACCGCTCTGCCCTCTCTGTGAGCGGTCAGGCACCATCACTCCAGCCACAGAGTACTGCCCAGAGGACAGCCACAGGCAGCACACAGGTAACCAGCTCTCCATCTCTTCAAGAGCCAAGGCGTATGTGGGTCCACCAAAGCAAGATTCCCACTCAAAACTGAGAAAACGCTTATTGTCACCTGCCAAGAGTCAGATTCTATCCCCACTGATTTCACTATTTCCCACGGGTCTTCTGTTTCAGTTTGTAGACAACTTGAGTAAAGAAACTTAGATGTGTGAGTATAGATTGGATCAAATATCTGTTTGTAATATTTAATTTATTAATTTAACTACAATTCATGTTATAAAACACATGTAGCAATATATAAATTTAGAAATAGTATTTTCACTCTTTTAATTCCTGTTTTAATTTGCATGTGAGTAATGGTTACACAAAACACTACTAGAGCCAATTTTGAGCTTCTGACACAGTTTTCTAGAGCATAGAATTTTTAGGTTTTTTAAAAAAGATTTATTTTATTTATTTGAGAGGCAGAGTTACAGAGAGAGAGAGAGAGAGAGAGAGAGAGTGGGGGAGAGAGAGGTCTTCCTTCCACTGGTTCATTTCCCAAGTGGCCACAAAGGCCAAGGCAGAGCCAGGCTGAAGCCAGGAGCCAGGAGTTTTTTCCAGGTCCCTTATGTGGTGCAAGGGTCCCAAGGACTTGAGCCATCCTCCAATGCTTTCCCAGGCACATTAGCAGGGAGCTGGATGGGAAGTGGAGCAGCCAGATGCTGACATTGCAGGCAGAGGGTTTCTTCACTATGCCACACTGCCAGCTCCAACTTTTAGTTCTCAAATACATTGTAATACAGTACTCTCTGAATCAGTCTGTTACACTGCCAATGGAAAATGGAGCCCAAACCAAAAGTATCCAGTCTAACAAGTACGATAGATTTTCTTTATTCATGCTGCACATGATCATCATAATTTGAATGATTATTCTTTTCTTAATTGATTTTTAAATCATTTTTAATTTAATTTATTTATTTTACAGGTTGAGTTACAGATAGAAGGGGAGACAGAGAGAAAGGTGCTTCCATCCACTGGT